GTCGAGCGCAGTGCAGCTGGGCCCATTAATTCATATCCCATACCCGTGGACGACGGGGGCAGCTTCCTCTGCGTTATTATTATTATTTTTTTTTTTTCGTCTCCATGCGGAAGAACTGTAAGCGCGCTACACAGCTGGAATATTTTTTTGCCCCATGGAGCTTTCCTCTGCGTTTTTTTTTTTTTTTTTTTTTGTCTCCATGTGGAAGAACTGTAAGTGCACTACACAGCTGGAATATTTTTTTGTCCCATGGAGAAAATAAGGCCGCACAACGCAGCCTGCCGTCGCAATGTGTCGCGTAGTTCTGAAGACAGGAACAGGAGCAATGCTAGTGGGACTTGGCCCCAGGAAACGAATAATGCGTCAGAATAGGATGTAATTATGGCCACATACATTGGCTTTTTTTTTTCTTCTTCTCAAACATACATCTACTTTTGCCAGTGGTGGTGAGGTCGTCCTCGCGGCGAATCAGATGATGAGTGAAAATGTTTCAGAAAAAGAACAAGTCGTCCTTGCGGTGTTGTTTCAAGACAAGAGAAGAGAACTGTTTCTAGCCTCCAGAAATGCATCTGGCCACATTTGATGGGTAGATGCATTCGTCATTTTCCACGGCAATTGTCTTGATCTGGTATTCAATGAGAGAAGCCTGATTCAGGGCACTGAGGAGGGAGGGACATTTCCATTTCCATGAGTGTACCTGACCGTAAGCACGACGAAATTCAGGGCGTACTCGAGCCAGGGAGGGACATTTTTATGGGTGTATCTGGGTGTAAACTCCGTCTAATTCAGTCGCTGCTGGATCGTGGTCCCGGAAAGGAGAAGTGAAGCGTATGGAAGGTCTTTTTTAACCCAAGAAGAAAAAGAACAGAAAAAGAAATAAAATGACGGTGCACCTTTCCATGTTCCAGTGGAGTATTCAGTCTCACTTTGCACGTTTGGAGAGTTGCACTCGCTCAGCTGCTCTGCAAATGTGCAAAATGAGGCTGAATCTTCCCCTAGAAGATGGAAAGATACACGTGGGGAGTAGCGGAGAGAGGCCAACCCAGCTGTTCCTTCTGCCCGCCCGTGAGAGGTGAGCCTCTGACAGAGCTGAGGGTGCTTTTTTTTTTTTTTTTTTTGGATCCCTGTTGCCTTTTTTAGGTTTTTCTTTCCCTGTTTCTGGAAGAAGATAGTTGGCCGTTTCTTATGTGCTCCCCATGAGAGACGAGGAGGAATCAATGCCTCCCTCGTGTCTTTTGCTTTGATGCTTCCAGAATGTATCTGACTGCACTTGTGGCCGGTGTGGGCGGATGCACGAGTGAAAACGGCTGCCCCACACCGCATCAGCTTGCTGGCTGCAGGTCCAGCATAAGGGCCGATACCTGTGCCAACTGCAAAATGTCCCTTACCGGTTCTCGCCCCCTCCAGGCTCGGCAAAGCTTGGCACCCCCACGGAGCATACTTAGGCTCGGCATCAATAGCTGGACCAAGTTCTGGTGGTTCAAAGACTGTGAAAAAAGTAGTAGATAGAAGATATGGAAACAGATTTAACCAGTACGGCAAGTCCTTCGGGACATCCGTCCATTAGAATTGGAACTATACAGAGAAGATTAGCATGGCCCCTGGGCAAGGATGACACACGCACACACACACACACACACACCCCACAAAAAAAAGAAAGGAATTGGAACGATACAGTTAAGATTAGCATGGCCCCTGGTGGCACACACACACACACAGCGGAAAAAAAAAAAAAAAAAAAAACAAACAACAACAACCAAGAAAAGACTAAGTGTGCCAGTATACTGCAGAGGTAAAATAGAGCGGAAACACATCCAGTTGCTAAATATGAGCGTGAGTGCAGGGGTCTATGCCAGACTGCAGGAGGGTACTCTCACTCGGACTCTCTGGCATATCTTTCACTGCAATTACATTCGGAATGCCCAACTGCATAAGCGTGACTGCAGGGGGCGAGAATGCCCAACTGCAACCATGAATTTAGTCGTGCGGTTCACGGCAGTGGGAGGTAGTTTACAATTTTCGTCTCCTGTTCCCCCTGCCGTTTCTTTCTAAGTTCTGGTTTGACCCCCCACCCCCCCTCCCCCTTCCAGGTTCCAGAGGGGGAAGTGTTCGCATGCCTGATCTGATCTGCATGTCTGATGGGCGTCTGAGTTGCACAAAATGTCTGCTATACTGCTACACTGCTACACTGATTCGTACCTTATAAAAAAAAACGAAGAAAGTGTATTTTGTTTCGCAAACGAACACCAGATCTCTGATGTCTGTATCAGTATGTGTGATTGACATCTACAGAATTGAGATGAGATAAAAACTAGAGACCGGTCTGCGTGGTCCTTTAGGCCATCCGTTAAAATCGAACGATACAGAGAAGGAAGATTAGCATGGCGCCTGCACAAGGATGACACAGATAAATTGAGATATGGTCCAAGGAACGAAACGGAGAACATTAGCATGGCCCCTGCACAAGGATGACAGACGTAAATCGAGAAACGGTCCAAATAAAAAGAATGAGAGCGTTTTGTGTGGGTCTATTTGCCGTTTGCGCCTTTGGATTCATTCTGGCAATTCATCAGACACAAATGCGAAGCCTCTGCTCGAGCTACAAAATGGATGTGGGTGCTGCCTCCACAATTTGTGGTCCTGGCTGCACTGCAGGAGCTTGTAAGGGGGTCCCAAATTCTCCCAATACATTCAAAATGTTGGATCAGTCCAAAATTCCAAATGTATCTGGTCTCTCCTCCTCTTGTTGTTCCATTCGAGCTCCCGAATGGCTCAGCGGTCCGGCCAAGATGTCTCATTTCGATCCGTGCAAGTTGAAAGAATACAAAGAAGATCAGGATGACCTTGTGAAAGGGATGGATTGATTGAGGTCGTACTCACATGACTCCTTCCCTGTATGTATCTGACTGCAATTACGGCCAGACTTGGATGTATCCGAGCGCAATTATGCCCAGAGCGGAGTTGAAAAAGTCCTAGTGTGAAGATGCCTTGAGACACGTACATCAAGAGTGCTTTTTTTCTTTTTTCTTTTTCCCTTTGTCATCTGTCTTGTTCACTGCAGCCCCGAATGCAAGTGTGAAAGGATAGATAGATTGATTGAGACGTCTTTTTCCCTACTGTTATGTACCCTGCAATCTCGATGCAATTCTCTGATCTGGTTCCATCTGGATTCGAACTCAGGTCTGCATTTCATTTCCACAGTTTTTTTTTCTTTTTTTTTTGTGGGCGTACCAACTGAGCTAATCCCATTGGTGATGCAATTCTGAGCTGCCCATTGGAATGTGCGTGTTTTTCCCCCTCCTCTTTTAAATGGGTGATGATTTATGACAAGAATAATGTGACAGTAAGTGACACCTGTCCATTCCAGAAACTCTATGGTGTGCCATATGGCGCTCCATATATGTATATATTTCTATAGATGGCAGTATATGGGAACAAGTGACCTTCTGTCCATTCCAAATGGAGAGTGCTTTTTTTTTTTTTTTTTCCCCTTGTCATACTGCAAGATATGCCAGCATTACAGTCCATGCTGATTGCATCGTGTGTGTGTGGCCTTGTGCTTCAGTTCCAGCCTTCACATTTTCGGGAATGTTCTTTTTTTTTTTGTTTTCCTGGATGTGGTTTCCCTAGCGGACGTTTTTATTTGCGTGCGCTGGTACTTTGTTTTAGTTACCTTGCGCGGAATATCTTGCGCGGAACATCTTGCGAGGAATATCTTGCGAGGAATCAGTTGGAGACCCTTTCGAACTGAAAGTGTTCATTGCATTATGCTGTGTGGTGTTTTTTTTTTCCCTCTGCGCAGGACAAATAGTGGCACCTGGCGTGAGGGCGATGTTCTTGTCAGTAGAGATGGGTTGAATGTCACCCAGCCAGGAGAGAATGTGGGTACTCAAACTCTGGTCTCTGCTTTCATCAGAGGGTGCGTAGTGGAAGAGAGGTTGGAGTCCTGTTTGAGTATTCGATTGCACTGTTACAGATTGGTCATATGGGAGGGGGAAAGGGAGATGAGAGGAGTGAAAACGTGTGGTTTCACGTGTTGCTGGTATGTAAATGGTGGTTGGTGCTAATTCATTCCTCGTGTTGCTACTGGTAAATAATATTAGTGCTAAACAGTGCTAATTCTTCCCAGTCCTTGTTGCACCAAGCTACCGTCTTCATTCACCCGAATACAACATACGGTTATTGTAGTTGTATTTGGGGCAACTTTGAGACTAGATACAGCAATAAATGTCCGTACGCTGTATTCGGCTGAAGACGGTAGTTGGCCTCGGATCTGTGTGTATTTATGGGTGTGCGAAGTTTAATGTTTGTGACCAAACCTGAGCTGCTGGCCGTTGTCGGTGTGCCAACTGCAGGACTGGTTGTACCAATCATGAAATAGGAGAGGGGAAGGGTCTTGTGAATATCTTCATATTTCATCTGTTTCTGTGGTTAATGTTGGTAATTCATAGTCGTTGCCTCTGTGACGCCGTTTTGTTTGGACCAGGATGTCCTTAGGGGCCTTGGACTTGTGTAGCATGAGGTGCTATAGAGCATTACTCGAGTACCAATTCCCTTATTGGCTTGACCAAATTGGAGGGGGAAAGTGGTGGGAGCCTAGGAGATAAAAAATAAAAATTGTATTATTCGCTTGATTGTTTGGCGATATTGTTGATTCCTAGTCCTGTGGAACAATGTGATTGGTAGCGTTTGGTGTCAAATTAAATTGGGGTTAAACCAGGGTTAAACCAGGGTTAAGTCGGGGTTAAATCGGGGTTAAATTGGGGTTAAGTGGGGGTTATATCGGGGTTGTGGGGGCATGAACCTGTGCGATCGGAGCAGCAGCTAACTCACAGCTAGAACTCAGTTGGAGATGTACCATCCAGGAATTGGCAACTGAGAGTGTTATCTTTGCCAGGATTGAGTATTGCATTTGACAAACTAATGCCATCCATTTCAAAAATAATTTGTCGTTGGGAAACATGAGCAATCCAACCTGTGTTGTTGTTGTCATAGGGTTGGACATTTGAAATCAGGCCGCCTTGCGACGATGACTACTTGGTAGGTGCTGACTCGTAGAACGTAAACTGCTCTAGGAGGATGGGAATTTTCCAGTAGGGATTATGCATCCATCTTTCGAGTGCTTAGGCCCTTTCACAAACCAATACGTTCGCGACTGAATCTTGGCTGTAAATCTGCAAAGTGCCTACACTCAGTGGTTCAACTGCATACGCCCTCGTTGAATCCAATTCCATTTGACCTCGAGGATGCATTGGGGAATAAATTCAACTTGTATTAAAAGAAAGCCATGCGCTACCAGATCGACTCTCTAGTTCGGCTGTCTACATGCCTTCGCTATGCCTTTTACGAGTCTGCTCCTTGAATGGTGGCATGCAAGCAATGCACCTGTGTGGGTAACCTTTGCTCCAGGGTTTTTTTTTTTGTTTTTTTTTTTGCCTGAGTGAGTGATATGTGATAGTAATAATTGGTGAAACTATGGAAATGGAGGGGGGTACCTATGTCATAAGGGGACCTGTGCGGAGCAGACGGATGTTGTAAAGTAATGGAATTCTTTTTCAGAAGGGCAACGGACAGCGTTGAGATATTATACTTGAACTGACCGGGACCAGGTTAATTCAGATTTTATTACCACTCATCTGATTCCCTTTTATTCCCTTGGGATTCAAACACAGGTCTGTATTTCAACAGTTTATGGGTGCACCAACTGAGCTAGGCGGTCCATTGTACAAATAATGGAATCATTTGCCGTGACAACTGGATTTGGCCTGATTCTATCCGAGTCCTCTATCTCCTTCGCTTGAGCAGGCAGGAAGACAATCATCTGCTGGAGCATGGTGTGGTGATTGGTCTGTTTATGGAAGGCCGCCGTCCTCACCGGAATAGAACGCATGGCCATTATATAGCTGTATTTGGGCAAACTCTCAGTCTAGATACGGTGATAACGACCGTGGGTTCTATTCTAGTGAAGATGGGAGTGGAGACATTAGCAGCGAGAGGGTTTGAAGAAATGTCTTTCAGGCTTCGGCAAAACTGCAGACAAGAGTAAAACGATAGTGCAGTTTGTCTAGCTGCTGGTCATGTTGTTGCGTATGGCTGATTGTGCCAATTCTTGGACCAGATTTGTTCACATCATTGACGATTACAGTTTTTGCTTTCCGTTTGTCGCTGACCCAGAATGCTCAACCAGCAGCAAGGCCACAGAGGCATCATCATGAGCACCAGGACCGTCCTCATCCAGAGGAAGGAGAGACTACAGTATCATCTCTGCAAGATCTGGAGTCTGTTCAGGTGCTGGGACGAGGCAGCAGTGGCCTGGTACAGAAGGTTCAGCACAACAGAACAGGACGCCTCTTTGCTGTGAAGGTAATGAATATAGTTCTCATGCTGGCTAAGTGCAGGAACATGTCAAGAAATGCAACGAACCAAACCAAAAATTGTGACCATGGCTAGAAGCGAGACCCAGTGTAAGTCGTATGGTACAGTGTGTGTTCAATCTTTAGATCTTTGGCGATGGTCTTCGGAAGTAAGACTACGGTTTGTAGTGGTTGTCCTCATGGTCTTCAGAATTGAAACTGCGGTTTGTAGTGGTTGTCCTCATGTCTTGTAGGGCTGCGGCGATGGTCTTTGGAAGTAAGAGTGCGGTTTTTAGTCGTTATCCTCATATCCTAATGCCTTGTAGGTGTGTCCTCGTGCCTTGTAAGGCTGTGGCGATGCTCTTTGGAAGTAAGAGTGCGGTCTGTAGTGGTTATCCTCATGCCTTGTAGGTGTGTCCTCATGCCTTGTAGGGCTGTGGCGATGGTCTTTGGAAGTACAGGTGTGGTTTGTCCTCATGCCTTGTAGGACTTGGAAGTAAGATTGCGCATGCTGATCTGGGCAAGTGCGGAATTGAGTTTTTGTGTCGTCTAGGTTGCTCGCTTATCGTAATGTTGTGTGGGGCCTGGAAGGGGATGTTGGTGAGGCATAAGTTGCTGTTTTTGTTAGTCTACCTCCGTAACGGTGGTTATCTATTTCTCTTCCCATGTCATAAAACTCTTTGACATCTGATGTTGTCCCCTTGGAGCTCAGAAAGATCCACAAGGATGGGGTGCAGCAGCAGCAGAGAGAGAGAGAGAGA